GAATAAAAACATTTCTTATCGAGAAATTCTCTGAGAAACTCGATGCATTTAGCATTGTTTTTTCAGTTTCTGTCAGAAAAAGTCATACGAAGCACTTTTTGCCATAACTTTTAGACTATCAGCCCAATTTTTAGCTTCTTACACTTTTGAAAACAATCAGAGATCATGCTCCGACAAGGTCTGGTTTGTAAGCTCTAAGTCTACTAGAAATAAGTGGCTATATCATCTAAGTTCAGAAAGGAACCATATCTTGTCTACTTTGATCATTATAAATCTCTCGTATTAGTTCTAGGGGTGGTCCTTTTATCTTAATTTAATATTAAACGTTAAGTTTTCCCATGACACTTAATACTAATAAAAAAAGTTCATCTCATCACTTAATTACTTAATATTAAGTTTTTCTCTTTAATACTTAATTCACTTGAAATTAAGTGATTAAGTATTTGATATGAGGAAGACATTATTTTATTTTAACTTCACTGCTAATAGTTATGTAGCAATATCAATAGAGTATTATTACTATTGGTGTTGTTGCACTCATATTCATTAGAGAAACTGTGCTTGTCGAAAATAATCGTTTTCTATAAAGTTTGACCGAATGTTGTCTAGAGTGGTAAGAAAAAGATCTTAATTGTGTTTGTTCAGATTTTGATGATGTGGATATGCATGAAGCAGCTTTTATCGTTATCTGAAGTATTACATGTGCAGGTAAATTCTAGTGTAGTTGTAATATTGTTGTGTTTTTTAGAGTTTAAGTAGATTGTGATTGTTTAACTATATCCTTATATAGTGTTTAGTAAAATTGTTGGTTCATTTTTTGTCTAATCGTCACCCTTACATCTATCTTGTAGTAAATAAACTAATTAAATCCAGCAACATTGTTTTGGAGCTAACCATATGCGTTTGCGTTTGAACGATTTGTGTTACACTTATTTCAGAATGTGGTAGATTCGTTGTTGAACTCAATGAGGTAAGTAAGTTCTGTATTTTATATGATTGCGTAAGGTTCTTAAGTACAATATCAACTACAGACTTCACTGTTCGATTAGCCAGACGTATATTATAGCTGCTCTCATAATGATTTGGAATAAATTTAACCCTACGCTATTTTACATCTTTATACAAATTCATCGGTAGACAATCGTTAGTTGATATATTATGAAAAATAACAATGAAGTTCGCATTTTAGCTAAAACTTGGATGTATTTTCTGTATCAAAAATAAGTAATTCATATTTTCATATACATGAAATCGTTTGTTAAGCTGCATTTTTCTCAGTTTTACTGTAAGTTGTAATTTTTCTTGCTCGTTGTTATTGAATTATAATAGCTCTAAACTAAACATGCTCGTCATTTTTATGCTCCAGATATAATTATTAAAAAATGTCATGGAAAATAAATCTAATAAACTTTTTTGTACGCTCAAAAACATATCATTCTATTTTTTTGTGAAACACGATCTGAAAGGAGTGTTGAAGTGTTTAGGGGCAGAAATTTGCCCCCCCCCCCACAGACCGTGACAGACAAACTATAGTTGTAAAGCATCAGATAAACAGTTAGCTACAAATGTATCGCAAAGAAATGGAACAAAATGATTTCCATTTAACTAGTAACAACAGATAAATCGTGTTTCACATTTTTAATCCCGCAAGGAATTGCGCTAACAGCTTTTTGAGAAAAATTGAATAGATGGTTTTGATCATATGTTATATACTACTTTTCAGACATAGGTATTCCACGCTATTTCTCTGCGGAATGTTGCAAAAGAGCACAAAGCATAAATGTGGATCGAAACTTATGAAACATTGTTCATAACTAAAAGATTGGCTGTCATCTGAGCTTCCAGCCTACCTAATGGACGAGATTTGATAGCCTAAAGTCAAGAAAAGATTATTTAGAATTTCAATTGAGTCGAATTCGAACTATTTAATCTTACAGATTAGTACATATGTCGTCAGAAAAAGAATCCTACCGTATGATAGTTATCTGTATGTGACTATCTTTTTTTTTTGAAAAGGACTTTACAATATCTATAAAGCCATGCTATACAATAGAATTACATCATATCATTTAGGATAGATCTATGTCAATTAGCTTTCTATAGTGTTGCTCGATTTAAGTTAGTTACATATTTTCCTTGTATTAAGAGGTATAGTACCTTCAAAAAAAAATAAAGAAACAAGAATTATAAGTCAAATCAAGAAAATAGTAATTTTACAATGGGTCATGAAATATATTTTTATTAATATGTCGAGTATGTTTGATTTGATAATAAGAGCATTTTTCTTTTAGGACTATCTATAAACTACGTCCAGAAAAAAGTGCGGGGTCTCACAACTAGTCAAGTTTGGACAGATGAATGGAACGGACCAAACATTTCTGGGTATTAAGGAGTACATTTGAGGAAGCAGAAACTTGTTGGAAGATCTTTTTATACTGAACATCAAGAAAAGGGAGAAGATCGATAAAATTAAAGATGCCTGGAAGAGAGGGTAAACGAGGATGAAAAACTTCCCTTTTTATCTGAGAGTCCTTGATGTGTGACTCCTTGTGTAAGTAAAAAGATCAAATAAACGGTTATATCTATTTGAAAGCAGTTTTAATTCAATTAGATAATCATTTTCTGCAGACTTTCACCACTAAATATTTAGATGAGCTAAATGTCATAGAAGAAAAAGCAGAAAACTCAGTAGTTTCACACACCATTAATTATAAAAGAGTTTTATTCTTTGTGAAATATGTCTCTGAAACACTTGTCAGAGAGATTCTTTTTATCTGTTGAAAAGCTTTTCCTGTGCAAATTTTCAAAAGCATCGTGAGATATTCGTTTCTAACGTATTGACATTTAGTGCAGTATCTTTTTTTAAAATGCATCCAATCAATGAAAGATCATTATAACTCTCAACAGCATGAGACATGAAACTTGAATAAAAAAATAAAATGCATTGTTGTTTTCAAGTGTTACATTGGGTCAAGATAATAATAAATCCTAAACAAAAGTCTACAGTAAGATCTCTGACAATCAATTTGGTTATTATAATGATTATTCAATAACAATGAAAAAATGAAGCTTTTGAACAATAGTGCAATTCTATGTTTAAGAAAGTCAGAACTTGAGCTCAAATATAGTCTTTGCTGTTAAGCTAACAATGAGTCTTTATTTGATTTTCTAGTGTAATAGCGATTGAGAATGATCAATATTGCACATGAAGAAATTTTGTCTGATTGAATTTTATCAATAATATATTCTTGTTTTCCTGGTGAATCAATCTGTGCCTTGGGGAACGGTTCTGAAGATTAGAAAAAAACGAGTTTATAACTTACCAAACTGGTATCTTTCTGATGTTTTTCTATTTTTTCGTAAAAATATAATTTAAATGTTTGACGAAGACAGAATTTTAACGATTTTAACCATGATGAATTATTTTCAGCTGAGCCGAATACAAAATAACGTAAAGCATATTGAACTAAAATATCAAATATGTGTTAGTATATAGAATATTTCCATCCTTGAACAGTCAGTTTGTCGAAATAACTTTTCAATAGTAATAAAATATGTCACCTACCTGAATATGCTGCTCCTAAAGTAGGATAATTTTGGCAGAAATAATATTTGTATAAATAAAAAGTGGTTTTAATGCAGCGTGTAAATTGATTAAATTAAACCAATCATTATTAGTAAATTCAAATTTTTTTGATGAAAGCATCATTCTTTGAACAGTACTAATATCAGGAGTTCGATACGGTTGACTGTTGATATTGTCGATAATAAAATAATGCTCATTAAAGCGATCAATCATAATAAAAGTAGTGAATGGCATAGAAAATGTCGAAAAAAAAACGTCGAAGTAGAAAACATCGAAACAAAAAATGCCGAAATAAAAAAGATCGAAAAAAAAGGTCGAAAAAAAAAATGTCGAAAAAAAAATGATTGAAAGATGAAAATATCGAAAGAAAAAATATCGAACGTCTAAAAATGTCGAAAAGTTCGAAGATAGTCATCGTACGAATAACATCTGCGAAGGTAACTATTCTTTTAAACTATTCTGAAGTTCTTCGTAATATCTAATTAGGTTTCCACAACCGTCTGAACCACCGTCTTCAAAGATCACATTCAAATATTTGGTCTTTTATCAAATGTCTCCAAGGTGAAGAAGCAAAATTTCGACATACGTTATTACAAACTAATGCTGGTGCTCAAGGTCGCTCAAAAGCTGCAACTACAACTGCAATACAACAACGTATTAATACTTTAAACGAACGTTATGCAAATAATGAAATTGTCCTTAATGAATTATTAGATGGTTTGTCGTTAACTGTAGCAAAATAAAGCAAATAAAGTTTTACAGTTCACATACATCATTATTTTAGCATAACTATTTTTTAATTTTTTTTTCGATTGTCTACAATATCACCTAGGTCTGATTTAAAAAAACGTTCTATTTTCAAAGCATCAATAAAGTTATTTACATTTGGATAATCCAACTATCTTATTTTTAAATTTTCGACATTTTTTTTTCGACGTTTTTTTTCGACGTTTTTAGTTTCGACATTTTTTTTTTCGATCTTTTCTATACATACCAAAGTAGTGTTCCATCTTATAATAAAATCAGATACAAGTCCAGCTGTAATCTTTGGTTCGCTAGTTTTAGCCTGTTTTTTCACATAATCATAAATGGCTCGTGTATTACGAATGTTCATAGCGCAAGCCCATACTCGTTCAATTAATCGATAAACGTAAAGTTGAGTGCGATATGGTTCAATTAAGTATTCTTTCTTGCCATCTTCACCTTCATAACTATCATCATGTTCATCGTCACTTTCAACACCAAGGACAACTTCATCTTCGTTGATATAATCATCACTACCACTATCAGATGGATTATCACTACCTCTTTAATTTTCATCTTCATAAAAATCTTCATCACCTGTATTATTTTCATCATCTTCATTATATTCACTACGTTCACAATCTTCATTATCTTCTTCATCTTCCAGTTCTTCTGGAATGTCGACTCGATCCGGTTCTGATATTTCATCATCATCACCATCAGAACTATAACTAAATGTATTTTTTGTTGCTTGTGCTGCTTGTTTTCTAAAATCAAAAAAAATTTGATCAGTTTGCATTAATACGATAATGACAGTGAAAACTGTTGACTGCATGAATCACTAAGTGACTCAGATGTTATACCGTATTTGCCTGAGAAATTTTATTGTAAATTTTATCAAAAAAGATTACTGCTGATAATGCCTTTTAAAAACAAAGTGATAATGCTTTCATTTTACTTATATTTTATAACAGCAACTTGATATAGTGTTTATGAAAGCAATTCTGATTTAGTAAAATTGTTTTGTTTAGGAATATTTAAGTATTAAAATATTTATTAATTATTAGAACACTTGACTCAAAAATACGTTAAGATTTTTTAATACTATTCTTTGCTGAATAACAAAGCATATCCAATACAGCGATTCGTGAAAGCAAAGCACTATACGTGGCAATTACTAATACTGATTGAATTTTCCTAATCTTTCTCTAATGTTCCGTAGAAGTTAATCTGTTTTTCATTTTAAGAAAAAAATGATGACTTCTTTTTCTTCTTTATAGGTTCCCATAGTTTCAATCCATTTTTGACAACAAGATTGATATTGTGTGCAATACATGAAAAAAGTTGACCAGTTTTTATTTCATTAACTGCTTTTTTAATATGACTTCCGTTGTCGCTGACAATTGCACATACTTTGTCTTCAATTTCTAGTTGTTGTATTTCATAAAGAATATACATTTTGATGTTGTTAGCTCGATGAGAACCAGAAAATCGTCGAAAACCTAATACAATTGGTATCGATTCGTATTTCTTGTTAAATACATGACCAGTTAAACAAATAAATTAAGTTTATTTTTTCGTCCATCTATCAACTGTAATAACAATCGCATTGACCGAGGCAAGTACCGTACGAAGTTCTTGACGATATTTGTGATAAGGTAAACCAAGTTGACGATGTACCATTTTGCGGCTAGGCCCACGACTAGAAAAAAGGATGTGGGTGTTGGAGTGTGAGTGTGTGAGTGTTTGGGTGTGGGTTTCGCTAAAGAGAAGAATAGGACCCACACCCACACTCTGACTCAAGGCTTTTCCATATGACTTTTGGCTGACTGTCCGAGTTAGAAGAGTTGCGGGGATTTTGATTTTCTTTCTTCGTGAAGTCAAAAAGTGATTCGTCACCCGTTCTCTCCATCTCTCTCTATTCAAAATATGATTCAACGGTGATTATGTCAAAAACTTGAAAAGAAGGAAAAGAGGTTAAAAAAGGAGACCAGCTTGGAACATGACTTGTTGAAGGTAAAAATTGGAAACGATACTTATTTTTCAAGGAGATTCGACAGCTAAAAAGAGAACAAAAGTCGACTGAGGTGATTCAAAAACTGAAGAGAAATCAGAAATGACGTTAGGTACTTCAGGAAACCCTTTGAGTGAGATCCAGTGGCGGACCCGCATATGTGTAAAGGATTCACTGGTATGCTCAGATCAAATAAGCACAGTCATAAACTGCCGTAAAGAACCGTCATTTGCAGTTTGAATAGGTGCCCTATTATAGTCATATATCACCCTATCCGAAATTGTAAATTTTTGATCGTCCAGTACACGATGATATACGGTCTCCAAGAAAAGGGCAACTCAAGGCTTCATACAGTTGTATGCGTCATCTGAGTTGGTTGTATACGAGCGTTTACGGTGGTTGTGACCACCATCATCAGTGCCGATTCAGTCCAATGTAAAAACATTGCACTAAATCGTTGCAGATCGTTATTTTACTCATATAATGCTAGAACCGCTAGAGTAAATTCAGCTTCAGATTTATAAATGTTTTCGATCTTTCTTTTTTTTTGCCAGTTTCTATGACCAAAATTGACAACAGTCCGCACGAAAACATCCTTTGCAACTCTACCGCGCACGCATTTTATTCAAAAGCAATAGCGTTTGTCCACGGTAAATAGCAGGTATTCTACTGGGGTATGACTTTCTGGATTGGCCGGTTGTTTCACCTATATTCGTCGCTATCTCGTCACCATAGGTTGGGTGAGTAAGTGTGGGTGTCTTGTAGGGTGTGGGTGAGTGTGGGTCTTGGTGTAGGGCGTGGGTGTCTATAGGAGAAGAGGAATTTACACGCAAACCATACCCACACCCCACATCACTACCCACACCTTTGACCTTGAAAGAGTCACAAATAAAGACATTGCTCGAAGCTGATAAGAAACAATCATTTTCTTTTCAACTGGCGATGATATTTTTATCTTGAAGGGACTTTGTTCTCTTCTTTTAAATAACAACTAATAAAATCATGAATACGTCGGACATAATGTAGCACAGGACAAAAAAATTAAAAAAATCTTGATTCTTCCTGTCTACTGTGCAATAAAAAGCGTTACATTTATTTAGCCCTGGTTTTAACAGCCACGAACGAAACTTTTCTAGTTTTGTACACGAAAGTTGGATGGTGTATGTGTGCTTTATCTCTTCATTCACAACCACATCTACAGCCAGACACCCATCCCAAACCTATCCACAGCCATAGCCACAGTCACACCCATTTTAAATAAGTATACGACACAAAAACGCTATAAATCACTTAAAACGAATTATTGAAGAAAGTCAAAATATTTTTAAAGTTATATATAATAAGGAGTAAAAGAAAATTTACAGGTCAAATTCCAATTGCAAAACCGAACACTAGCAGGTCTTTGAGATAAAACTAATAGTGCCATCCCCATTGTTACTGGTCACAATATCAGGTAAATTATCTTGGTTGACATCCCCAACAGTGATCGCATAGGGACTGGAACCAAAACCAGACTGAAAAAGCTTTCGACTTGCGAAACTTCCATTGCTATAACCAAACAGAACAGTAACGCTATTAGTACCGAAATTAGTGACTGCAACATCCCATAAAGTGTCGTTGTCCATATCCAAGACAGCAACGGAGTATGGATTAGAAGAAAGACCCATAAAAAAAGTTGCTTGACTTGAAAAGCTTCTATTTCCTTGACCGAGAAAAATACCGACATTGTCATTGCCTGAATTGGCAACCACAATATCCAAATGCGCATCCTTATTCAAATCACCGACTGTGACTCCACATGGATGAGAACCGTGGTCAGTAGAATGCATTATTTGACTTGAAAAAGAACCATAACCCGTTCCAAAAAGTATCATGATACTATCTGTGTCATTATTGGCGATGACCACATCCAGCCGATTGTCGTTATCGAAATCACCAACGGCGATGTTCTTTGGTCGCGATAAGTTACCCGTTGAATAGGCAGGTACTCTCAATAAATTGGTGTCATTATAGCCAAGAAAAATCCCTAAATTGTTACCATTATAATTGGCAACAGCAATATCTAGTCTACCGTCATTATTAAAGTCGCCAGTGACAACGGATCTTGGTGAAGAGTAGTTGCCAGTTGAGTACGTTATCTGACTGAAAAAAGTGCCATCATGAAATCCGATAAAAATTCCGATGTTGTTAGAAAGAAAATTTCCGACAACTATATCCAGTAAGCCGTCGTTGTTAAAATCGCCACTGGTAAGCGAACGTGGTTCAGAACCAGTGCCTGTTGCATACGTTTTTTGAGGTATAAAGCTACCGTTTCCATATCCTAGAAGAATACCAATATTGTTAGTTTCAAAGTTTGCAACAGCCAGGTCCAAATGATTATCGTTGTTGAAATCATTAGTGATGATGCAGTATGGCTGAGAGTGATACCCTGTCGAATAACTACTTGACTGTAAAAATGTGCCGTCACCATGCCCAATAAGAATAAGGATAT